TTTGTTTTATTTCAAAATTTATTTAATTTTTTTTTCCAGTTATTTCCAATGATCGCAAGCTTTTGGTATTACTGTCGTGTGCGGATATTATTTAGCTATACAAAATAGTTTTTTTTTGCTGTGGATGAGTCATGTTTTTATGACGTAACATTGAAAATACTAAACCAAGTCGCCGATTTTCGAAAAAAAGAAAATTTCCGATATCTCGAAAACGAAAACACTTTTACCTAAACTTTTTTCCTTTTATGAGCTAGTCATGACCTCTGCTATCACCACCTCAAGGTTTATCGTCAAGAACCGGGACACCCTGTATAATATATAAGAAAATATTAACTTCAACAGCTAATCATTCAACAACGTATTTTCGTAACTAACAACAAACATGACAGTTCCAAGTCCTAATAGGGGAGGGTGATACATGATAATCCCCCTAAGGAAAAATGTAACAGCGAAAATATCAAACATTTCATGAAGTTCTAATATTTAATAACAAGCTGATTTAATGTCCTACAAATCACTAAACTTAGAGGTAATTAAACTATTGTGATTTTTTTTTATTTCATTCTTTGTAAAAGTCTAGTAAAGGATCATTCTGAACACCCTGGTGAGCAAAATAATCGCCAGCACGATGGCAAAACGATCCCCAAAGATCATTTTACCCCTTTAATCACAAATGGATAAATATAAAAAAATAAAACATATTTGTTGTTACTTATTATGGTTTTATTACAAAAACAGGAACTATAAAAAAGATCCAAAATTGTCCTTGAAACTACATAAATTTTGTAATATTGAACGAACCAGTCTAATAAGTAACCTACATTTTTACGGTACTTGCTTGCACACTTAGGTAATTAAAAAAAACAAGATAGATATTATCAAAACAATACAAATCTAATCTGATATAATCTCAGTAAAAAAATCAAAAAAACTTCTAATACATCAGACATCTTACCAAACTGAAAGGTAGATAACAAAACTGACTTCTTATTATTTAAAAAAATATAAAATATCAACATAAAACGCATATTAAATCATCTCTTTTAATTTCTTGTGTTGTTTGCGAACAGAACCGAATCTGTCATCTTGACCCAGCCTTCTCCTTTTTTATCTTTAGCATAGCTTCCGTTACAGAATAGACATTCCGTTTCGTCTTCATCATCACTCTCCGAAGATGATTCAGATATTTCACTTCTTTTTTTAGGCTTTGGTTCTTTTTTTTTCCTCTGCTTTTCTTTTAAATGTTTTCTATGCCCAATGATTTTCCTTTAGAACTATTTTTCTTTTTGGTTTTCTTCACATTGTTTTGGTACATTCGTGTTCTTTTCTAATTCTTTTTAATTCTTACTATGCATTTCTTTTTCTAACTATGTTTTGTACGGTATACTAGTGAGAATGGCTACATATTCGTGACCTCTTAGTTTTTGAATGTTTTCCTTCCATTTTCAGAAGCAGTTGAATTACTCGTGGAGGAATATTGAAGGATGTCGATGCGATAGGTGAAATATTGCCCTGAACTTTATCATTTCCTGCAGCTACCAATGAATCATTTTTATCCGTTTGAAGCGACGATATTCCTACGGCTACTGCAGGTGAAGGATTACTATTCATTACAGGGTTGCTATTTATCACAGGATCAATTGCCAAGTTATTTTCACGTCTCTAACAGAATAGCCCTTCAATAAGTGCAAGATAGCATCGGGCACTTATTGAAGGAGGTATTTCAAAAGACTCATCATCCTTTTCTTCATTTGTTGTGTTTGCAGCAATAAAATGTACATCAATAATAACATCAGGATTCAAGGGAACTATTCAGCACTTTTGAAATCCTTTGATGATATTGAGAGGGACGGTAGCTTTCAGGTACATTTCGCCAAAAACTTTGCTTATTTGGAAAATTTTAAAATATGCTAAAGAAGTTCTTCCTCTTGCTCCCCAGTAAATGCTTTTTTTCAAAATTCCCCATGACTTTCGCACCCCCACAGAATGACCGATTTTTCTTTTTGTTCGTCTTTTGAGAGACACAACCGGCACTGAAAACGTTTTGCTAGCGGTTTTATATACCATTCCAGCTCTGACAGCATCTA